ACGCACGCGCGCACACACGCGCGCACACATACACACACACACACATACACATACACACAAAGCCACATACACACAAAGCCACACAAAGCAAATACCGATAGCCAGTGCGGTATGTGCACACAAAACTGCAAGAGCACGCGCTCAACAATGTGGCCTTTCGACTGCGACACAATACCACCGATGCACACAGTTATCACTACAAGCTTAACTCACGCACACACACACACACAACCACACGCACACACATTACCAAGGCTGACCCACATCTATTGCCCGTTTTCGCACCTGCTTCCGCTTCTCTGCCATCTGCTTCTTTGCTCTGACAAACATGTCCAGCCCATGATCTCTCCTGCTTGACGCTGGTGTCGACGACGATGAGCCAGTACCCGCCCTCCTCCCTGGTGTTGTTGTTGATGTTGTTGCTGCGGCTGCGGCTGCCGTTGTTCTCGCCGCTGTCGCTGCGGTCGTTGATGCAGGCTTGCGGGATGAGCGTGGTTTGCGGGTCAGTCGCTCCGGGGCGGGGGAGCGGCGGCTCCGGTCGCCGCTGGCAGACCGCCTGACAACAAAGGGGGAGATGAGGAGAAGGAGAAGGAGAAGGATGGAAATGTCAGTGCACATCGACACAGAAAACATGAAAACACACACACATGCACATGCACACACACACACACGCACACACACACATGCGAACACTCTCGACACAGGAGCAAGCAGACACAACGCACGAGCGGGACCTTGGCGGGCTGCGGCGGCGGCCTTTCCTGCGACGGCCGGGGCTGGCGGACTCAGCACCTGAGCTGGAGTCTGACGGGGACGACGGCGACGAGGGTGACGATGATGGCGATGACGGCGAGGAAGGCGACACCTCGCTGGAGTGGCTGCGGCGGCGCGATCGACGGCGGGCCCGCCCACGACCCCGGCTGCGGCTGTCATGATCGTCGTCATACGAGCTGGCGTAGCTTGAGGACGACGTGTAATCATCATCATCATCGTGGTCGTCGTCGTCGTCATCGCTCTCGTACGAGGAAGATGCGTGGCGCCGGCTGCGAGACGACGTGTGGTGATGGCTGCGCGTGCTTCCTCGCCCACCATACCGACCGCGTCGATCACCTCCTCCCCCACCTCCGCCGTGCCTGTGGTGGCCGGACCTCCGCCTGGGTTGCCGGCGGTCTGGACGGTGCGCATGGCGCGGGCGCCTGTCGTGCCTGCGTGGGCTGCCGTAGTCATCGTGCGGGACAACCTGATGCTGACGGCGGTGTTGGTGGTGATTGCGATGCGGGTTGCGATGGTGGGTTTGGGCGTGATGCCTGTCGTCACGGCGAGGCAGCCGTCGCTGTTGGTGCTGGGCATGCTCGATATGGCGACGGTGGTCACGCGAGTGGGATCGCCGCGACCTCGAACGCCCTTCTCCTCCTTTCTTGTGTTGCTGCGAGCGTTTCGACCCTTCCTTGTCTTGCTGCCTCTCCTTCTTCGCGGGACGCTCCCTACTGCGGCTGCGGCTGCGGCTGCGGCTGCGGCTGCGGCTTTGCTCTGGCTGCTGCCTGGGTCGATCACGCTCAACGGCGCTGCCGGCGCCCTCACGGCCCTCTGGCTTGGCTGCGGGTGGTGGCGCCGCTAATGGTGGTTGTGTGGCGGTGCGAAGCGGAGACCGGGACCGCGAGGTGCGCCCGCGGGGCCGACTCCGGTTGCGGCGTGGGTGATCGCGCGGCATGGCGCTGCTGCTGCTGCTGCTGCCTGCTGCTCAAACTGGGTGATGTGGCAACATGAACGTTGAAAGAGCAACGAAAACCGGGGCATGAGATGGCGGCGAAGCAGCAACAGCCACAAGACGACGCAGCAGCCGTGGCAATCGCAACGTCAGAACCGCGAGAAGGAGGGAAGACGAAAACAAGCAAAACCGAGCGCGAGCTGTTGGGTGAGGAATACATAGAACACAACACAATAGCCTAGAACACGCTGCCAGAAGGCGCTGGTCGTGCGCAAAGCCTTTGAACCCGTCAAAGAGGAAGCAGAGGGTCTTGCGAACGTACTTACCGCAGTGCACGCGTTGTAAGGGGGCAACGCTTCCCTGCCGACCTCGTTCCTTTCCTTGCTTCCTTGGCACGGCTGTGTGCAAATGTTCTCGTGTACCTACCTACCTACACACACGCACACACACACACACACACACACGCACGATTGCCCGGGGGCCTTTTTTTCCCCCTTGCTTGTCGCGATGTGCGAGCAGTGATGCACTGCTGCTGCTGCTGCTGCTGCTGCTGGGGGAGATACAACGTCCGTCCGCCGTTCCACGCAGCACCCCTTGTTCCTTTCCCTTCCTTTTCCTTTCCTTTGCTGCAAAAAGCAAAAAAGCCCAAGCCACCCTAAATTCAGGGATTGATTCCTTGCACAGCCAACAAGCCAAACCAAACAAGGCGAGCAGGCAGGCCTGCCAAAGAGTGCGCGATTTCTGCCGGGTTTGCCCCCAAGCGTCGTGCACATTGTTGTTGTTGTGGTTGTTGTTGTCGTTGTTGGCTGGCTTGGTTTGTTGTTCTTCTCCTTGCCCCCACGCACACATCACCCACACACATATCACACACACACACACACACACATATCACACACACACACCGCACATCGCACTCGACCGATTCATGCCACAACAGCCAACAACAAGGCTGGCCTCACGATCACCTTTTCATTAGACACACACACACACACACAAGACACCAAGCGATTCGCCGTAAACACACAGCAATGAGAAATGGCGGCAGCCCCAGCGGAGATGATGGCAAGCGGGAAGCTCGACATCGCCCACGCCGCTTGTCGCTGTCTGCCTTGCACACGCGAGAAGTGAGCGTGGATGCTGCTGTCACAGGCCCAGCCTCACCCCAGCTCCAGCGGCAGCGGCAGCAGCAACAAGTGCCGCGAGAGGGCCGCCAGCCAGATGCCCGTGCCAGCCAGCCCTTCCAAGGCTCGACACAAGCACAACAACCACCCCACTCACCACACCTGCTGCCGCGCACACAGCAACAACAGCACCACCAACAGCAGGCGCAGCAGCAACAGTCGCAGCAACAACAACAACGCCGGCGACACTCACTGCTCGTGGGTGCAACCGCAGGTCGACAACACACGGCACCCTCCTCCTCCTCCATCCCATGCGCAGCGACAGCAACGGGCAGCAGCAGCGATACGACCCCACCACACTGCCTTCCGGCCTCGGATGGGTTCTCCGAGATGGCCACAATGCCGCCGCGCGCAAGCCGTCCACCGCGCCCACCATCGACGTCCCCGCCTGCTGTGCGGCGCCGACCTGGAACCGCACCCATGATGCAACTGGTGACCAGCCCACCGCCGCCGCCATCATCACCCCATGGCGGAACGGCAGCACCCCCTTCCACCACATCCACGCCTGCGTCCTCCGCGGTCGCCTCGCCGGCGATGATCCGCTCCCAGCGGCCCGCACCTTTGCTGCTGGCATCAACGTCTGCGCAGTCTGTTGGCGCTCCGTGGTCGCCCCCGCCAACCAACTCCCCAATGAGCCCGCCCACACACAGTGTACAGACAGGCGCTAGCACTTTTGCCACTTCCTCCTTCTTTGGCGGGCCGCCGCCGTCCACGGCCCACGCGTCGTCCGCCTTCAGCCACGGCCACAGCAGCAACGGAAGCCCGCGCGGCCGCCGCGGCAGCCGTGGCATGGACGCGCGCATGGCCATGGTGGGGCAGTCGAGCTTCCGCACGCATCAGCAGTCGCCAACCATTGGCCTGGCCTCCCCGTCGACATCGCCCTTCTCCCCTGCAACCACCATGCCGATTGTGCGCTTCCCGCACTCGACATTGGGGCCCATGGCCTCTGGCGGTGGCAGCACGCGGCCTGGGCCCGTGTCCCCGGGCTCGGTCTCCCTCATCGCCGTGCCCTCTCTCACACAGTCGACTCGCACCAGCTTCCAACCGGTGCAGGACCCACGTGGCCCGTCGCGCACCCAGGCTGCCGGGACCACCCCGCCCAAGCGACACGGCAGCAGCCAGCGCAGAGACGTGAGTGGAGTTCACTTTGTGTATGCACGCATGTGTATTGTGTTGTGTTGTGTTGTGTTGTGTTGTGTTGTGTTGTGCATGTGCACGATTGAACTGTATGCGCAATGGGACATGGAGCCACGGAATGTCACGGACATGCTTTTCCAACTTGCTCGCACTCAACACGTGCCCAACCCCATATTCGCCTCACGTCCTCTTTCCGACCTGCTGCACCACTCCTCCTGCCTGCATGCCTGCACATACGCGTCTGCACAGCAACGCCAGCACCACCGCAGCGCATCCTGGTGCGGCGGGGACGAGGAGGATTCCTTTGCAAAGACTCCCTTCCGCTTCACCGTAAGTGTCACCCGCCATTTCCTCATCTTTGCGGGTCTTTGTCGTCTGCATATGACTGACGGCTGTTTGGCCCTGTTGTGTCCTGCGTTTCACTTGCGGTCCCCCCCCCCAAAACACCCTAACGCTAATTATTCTCAACCAACATGTGTGTTATGTGTTGTGTGTGTGTGTGTGATGTGTGTGTGTGTATGTGTGTGTGTGTGTGTGTGTGTGTGTGTGCGTGTGTGTGTGTGCGTGTGTGTGTGTGTGTGTGCGCTGGATTTTTTTTGTTTGTTTGTTGGCAGCCGACGCGTGACTGCTCCATCTCGCCCCGCTCAACCCCGAGCCCCAGCAGCATTGATCCATACATGCGCGGCCTCTCGCCCCGCCAGCCGTCGGCGTCCCCAAGCAGAGGCGTATCCCGGACAGCAAGAGCAAGCCCACGCGCACCAACACCACCACGATTCAGGTACTGTCATTCCACACTCAAGCATGGTTGATGTCGGCTGTCCTGGAGCTGATGGCCCAATCACTATTACGCCCCATGAGCACAGCAACACAACAGCAGCTACATACGCGTGCAATGCAAGTGCATGCTCACATTCACACACAAATACGCGCACGCACACACCACCATTCACACGCACTCACCACACCACATTCACACGCACGCACACTCACACGCACTCACCACACCACATTCACACGCACGCACACGCACACGCACTCATCATTTTTGTTGTGTCTGTGGTGTTGTTGGACGACGCTATGGCAGGGGCGACCGCTGCGATCGCCTGCGCAACGAAGTTCGCGAGATGCTGTTGCAGAGTGAGCTCGACAACCTGACTGCAGAACACGTCAGGACACTCATGATGGTAAGCGCACGTGTACACGCTTGAGGGATGAATGCGTTCGAGGAACTGTGGGCACCTGAATGGCATTTGCCCTTTAGACACACACACACACGGATTGCCGTACTCAGCACACACACACACACACACACACATTCACATTCACATTCACATTCACATTCACATTCACATACTCAACTCACACGCGTGCGCACGTGTTCTGTTCTCCTGTTTGCTTCTCCCCCTCCCCCGTAACCCTTTCCCAAACCCTGTGATGTGCTGTGCTGTGCAGGATGACGGAACCGTGGTGCCGATTGAAGCGCCAGTCAAGGACGCGGCTGCCGATGCCGAGAAGCGCGCAGACGGCTGCTTTCCCGGTGATGCAAAGGTCCTAGCCAAGCGCCAAACCCCGCGCACCCCAGCCGTGTTCTCCCCCGTTAGCTGTGCAAACACAGCATAGCTCTAATCAACTTCCTCGGTCGCCTTTCCTTTAGGCCACAACCGCCTGTCTCCAAACCCACACAAGGACTTGACTTCATGACCACTGCCCTGGCATCCTGCTTTGGCAACCATGCGCGCCTTCCCCCCAATCCCTTTCGTGTTCATGATCTCGTGTCTTCTTGCTGGTATCGATTCTTGGTTTTTTATTTGTCTCGCGTCTTGTGACTACCGGTTCCTTGCTACTGTCGTCCTCGCTCTAGCTTTCCGTTCTCAGGTACATGCACATGCACGCGCGCGCACACATTTTGCACACGTTTACACTTGCACACATGCACACGTTAACCCATGCGCGTGCTTTTTGTTTCGTGAACCGTGTCCTTGGGCTGGCTTGCTTGCCACAACGTGTGGTGCGACGTTTCGCCGATGCCACCAATGCATCCATATGCTGTTGCCCTCTTCTTGCTGCGCTTCCTCCGTGTTTGTCCTCTCGCTTGCTTGCGTTTTTCTGCCGCCGCCTGAGCACCTTGAAGTGGTTTTGTCTGCTTTGGCCTATTTTGAACTCCAACTTCCTCTCTGTACATGAATGAATGTGCTGTTGCGTGTCAAATTACACATTGATGCAAGGTTTTCACTCCCTCATGCCCTCGCAAGCTCTGTGTGTGCCTTTGTGTGTGTGTGTGTGTGTGTGTGTCTGTCTCTGTCTCTGTGTTTCTGTGTGCGTGCGTGTGTCTCTGTGTCAGTGTGTGTGTGTGTGTGCGTGTGTGCGTCTTCAGTGTGTGAGCGTGACTGCCTCTGGCAGTCGCTCTGTGTGCCTGTGCGTTTACGTCTGTCTGTTTGTCTGCCTGTCTTCCTACCTGTGTCAACTACCTTTGCGTTGGCACAAGTATGCGTGTGTAAAAATCATCTCACCAGATATGCGCAATAGAAAAACGGGGTCACATCACGTCAGCCCGAGAGGCATGTCATGACACTTCATACGGTAAAAACCAAGCGAGCAAGCATAATCACGGGAACAAGAGGCACCAAAACCTCAAAACACGGGAACCGAGGTGGGGGAGGGGAGTATACGTAGGGGACAGACAGGACATGCATGAATGGCAACGAGCATGCGGGGGAGAACCACAAATGCGAATGGAGCACCGCCAAAACGCAGCAAAAACAGCGCCATTGACGTCACCAACAGCAGCAGCAGCAGCGACAGCAGCAAAGCCAACACCGCGATGCAAGAAAGAGGCACGGCATGAAAGAGCCCAACTATCAACCGATGAGGCACTGGTGACGAGGTGTGCATGGGGGGACGCAACTCGAACCAGGTCGGAAGGACCTGCAACACAGCCGAAGCAACAACACCAACCAGTGGTGTCACTGCCCAGTTGCACAACAGGCGCACTGGGGCAAAAGGGGGAAGGGCCGCGTGGGACGGGGAAGCGGAAGAAGTGGAAGGCAGACAGAGGAGGGGAAACACAAGTGTCCAACCAGCCACGCGAACTCAAGAAGTGGTAGAAGGGACGCAACACTCAGAGGTGGGGCTGCTTATTGAAGGGAGCAGACGGAGCTGCTCTGTTCCTCAGTTGACGCACGGTCACCACGAAGGGTCGTCCGAATGGAGTTGAGTGCCACTGATGTTGTTGGAGCAAGTTTTTGTTGTTTTGCCTTGAATCGCTCGGGATCCTCCAGATCCTGTCTCATGTCCAGCGAGAGAGAGAGAGAGAGTGTGTGTGTGTGTGTGTGTGTCAGTGAGTGTGTGTGTGTGTGTGTGTCAGTGTGTGTGTGTGTGTGTGTGTGTGTGTGTGTGTGTGTGTGTGTGTGTGTGTGTGTGTGTGTGCGCGCGCGTGGTTTTTATGTTGACATGCTGGCATGTGTGTGTGTGTGT